GATTCTCTGGCCAAGCAAGGGGTGTCAAGGGGTGATCTGTTTTGGGCTACTTTGTAATTTGTATCTAAGGTTTGGGCATGTTTAGTGTTTATGATTCAGTCCTTGGGGGAGGTAACATCTCGTGCCTCTTCCTAGGCCGCTTGTATTTCTGATATTTATTTCAGTAAAATTACTCTCATTTATCAAAAAAAAAAAGAAAAGAAATACAATAGGAGAAATTATGTACAGCTCATTACAAACCCCTTGAACCCTTTATGAGATTCCCCACCCAATATTTACAGCATGGACCAGAAAAGGTTCTATTTATTCCTTGCTTTGTGTCTATTAGTAAAGCTTTGAAGGTCTGAATCAAGGTTTTTGAACAGCCGTTGACCTGGATGATCGGACTGTTCAGCCTGGGAACCGTCCAGGCAACCGGTTCCGTTTTACCCCAAGCCTGGTTTTGGCCAAAAACCGTTGAAAAAGTCAACAACCCATTGACCTGGGCAGCTGAACCGTCGACCCATTCAACAGTTTTGACTCCTTTTGTTTTATTTTTTGTTTGTTAGAACGGGCCATCTGTTCGAACCGGATGGTTGGACCATCGACCTGGAAACTGGTTTTCAGAACGGTTCCGTTTCCGAGTTGTTTTTTAAAACGTTGGTTTGAATGCTGTATCTTTGTTAAAGAGTCATATGTTCAAGTCTGATAAAAGTTATTTTCAAGCCATTTTATTCATGATATACAAGATCAAATTCATTTTTAATTTTCTATATTAATAGTATCTAGTATTCCAATAATTTTTAGTTTAATTTATTAATAGTATTCAATGTCCAAATCTGATCCGAGTCTGATTTAAATCCAATGGATAAGATTTGATTCAGTTTTGAACATTAGCAAATCAAAATTGGATCTAGGTATATCCAATTTGATTTGATCAGTTTGCATCCCTATTTTTATGTGATTCTGGATTTAACTATTTCTTGTTTAGATGATTGGGCATGTATACCTCATATTTTCAAGTCATGATATTTCATATTTTGAATACTCATAAAAAAAAAAGAATCTCTAACATTTTTTCCCATCTGAAGTAACAAAGTTATAAAAAGAAAACAAGAAATCTTTATTACACAGCCAATATGCACTGTTGATTGATTGTATAATCTTCTTTTCTGTGTCTACTTGATTGGTTAATTGGTTATGACATCACATATCTTGTAATTTTCATGATTTTTTTTTTTGTAATTTCTGGTTTAGCATATCAACATATTTGACTTTAAATTTGAAATTTGTGCAAAACCTTATGATGCAGAATGTCCATAGAGTTTTGGAGGAAGGACATTTAATAACAGAGTTTGAAGATGCACTGGTGAAGCAACGACCAAATTGTGTGTCGAGTTTGGGGTTGAGAGAATCGTGGGAAAGTCGTTTGGAAAACCATATTCAGCACCGTTTAACTGAGCTTGAAGGTTACAGTTCATCCAATCCTGCTAAGATCCTTAAGCTTGCACCTTTACTTATATATGACTTGGATTTTATTTGCTCTTTTTTTAGATCAATAACAATCAAATTTATTATAATATAGACAAAGTGTACAATAGTTACAGCATAAAGTGATGACATGTATCCCAATTGATTAAGAAAATTTATACAAAAGGCTTTGTTGGAACCTCCCTCCAATACACTTGGACTCTTTCTTTTTTTTTTCTTTTTTGTTTTTTGAGAAAAGACAACTTCCGTTCAAGAAAAAGGGGGAGTTCATGAGAAGATGTACATCAGGAAAAAAAAAAGACAAGAAGGCCAACAATCTTGTGCAGGCAGGGATCTGTTATACAAATAGCCCAAGTGTGCACTAGATTTAGCTAGGCCATTCGCTAATACATTTAATTCCCTAGGAATCCAGCATAAGTATACATCCTTTGAGTTCAGAATATTTCATGCCTCAGTCAGGTAGTGAGCTAGTCTCCAAGGACCATTCTCCTTCTCTCTTAGCCACTTGATGGTATTTGTAGAGTCTCCTCTTATGGTTAATTTTGTAAAACAAGAGTAAACAGAGGAAGAAGAAGAATTTGTTATATGTATTCATCAATCTCGTATGTATATATACAAGTTACATATTCTATGTTAGGAAAGAAGACTAATTAAATTCCTACAAACCAGTCCTACAGTCAAGGTACATCATATCTCCCTAGTATTTACTTCCTATTTTGTAACATCATATCTCCCTAGTATTTACTTCCTATTTTGTAACACTCCCCCTGAAGCTGGAGCATAGATATTAATCATGCCCAGCTTGTTACAAAGATAATCAACCCGGACCCCATTAAGAGCCTTCGTGAAGATATCTCCCAGTTATTCTTCTGTTTTCACATAACCTGTGGAAATCAAACCTTGCTGAATCTTTTCACGAACGAAATGGCAATCAATCTCGATATGCTTA